GAGGAGGATGGAGAAGGAACTGTGATGAAGGCATGCCCCCCAGACGCTCTGCAAACTGACCCAGCCCCTGCAGCCTGGACCCTGCACCCCCCAAAGCAGGTCACAGTGAAGGTGGGTGGATAGAAGCAGGCCCCCATCCCCACCTCGGGCTAGCCAGTTCCGTCAGACCCTGACCCTTCTCTGAGCTTCACCCGTAAGGCTTCTTCCACTTGTAACATCATCGACTTCCAGACCAGGGCCTGGGGAGGCCTGGCCCCAGCTCCTGGGTAAGGAGCCGTCATATAATTTATCTCTTGGAGTAGAAAACAAGGAAAGGGGGGCTAACTTTGCCATGGAAAGCACCAATAAGTTAATATAAATAGGCATCATAATAAATAGTGGTGCTGCGTCAGACAGCACTCGGCCTCAGGCTTCCCCGAGGCCTTGACCTCAAGTTCCGCTACCCCTGCTCTGAGGACCAGAGTCAACTCTGGACCCCGCCGAGTACCTCCATGTAGCCTCCGAGGTGAGCAGCTTCTCCAAGCTACCCTGTCCCCCCATTCCCTCACAGACTCCTGCTCAGGAGGAGGACTCTACGTCCCCCCAGAACCTCCTCACTTGACTTCAAAACCTGCCCCTGCTCCCCTTCTCCCCTTCTCACCTCCACAACCCCCCTCAGGGTCCAGCCACCAGACCCGAGTCATTCCAGGTGACAGGAAAGCCCATGGGAAGATGAAGGAGAAGCCACCAAGGCACTGGGGGCCTCTCTTCCTTCTAGTCTCTTTTTTCCCCAGACCGAAGGTGGCCTCTCTCTGTCTCCCTAAGAGCCTGAGGGCCATTGACCTCCTTCTAGAACATTCCACCTGACAGTCCCTAGGCCTGAGCTCTCTGAACATGCCCAAGAAAAGACAGCATCCCTCCCCAGTCTCCACTCCTTTACCTTTCACTAAACTTGGACGGGACAAGGATCCCAGCTCCTCTAGTCCATCCATGTCCCACCTAAGCCTTCTGAAGTCCACCTCAGGGGCAGTAAAGGCACGCATGGTGGTCATTCCACAGGGGGCGGGGCAACTCCCTCACTCTGTGTTTGGGGCTGCTGGAGATAGCATGTGCACAAAGTGAGAGAGGAGGGGAATGAACCCATGGGGACAGAAGTCCAGCCCTCACTCCCCTCGCCAGCCCAACACCCTGGTTGCAGCCTCCCAGAGAAAGAGGCGCCTTCTTCAAGCTGGCGCTGGAATAGGCCCTGCCTATGGAAGTTTCCACTCTGCTCAGCTTCATGACGGTCCACTCCGAAGTGAAGCGGACTGACCAGGAGCCCCTCGGGGTCTGCCAGCAGCCCCCATTGGGGTTTCGCGATGCCCTGGGCCCCAGCCACACTCTGAGAGCCCCCCACTGGGATGCGCTCCCTTGGTCCCCGTGTCGGCAGCTCACTGCAAGACCCTGCCTAGAACGCCTGGGCCAGCACGGCGATGACCTGCTTGTACTTCCCCAGGAGCTGACAGCCCAGCTTCTTCTTCTGGAAGACGTCCTTGCCCGTGGTGTCGGGGCCGTAGGTCACATCCACGTGGGCCACGTGGTACTTGCTGCACAGGCGACAATGCACGTTGCTAAGCAGGCCACGCATGATGTCCGCCGTGGCGTTGAGCTTGCTGTGGAGGCTGAGGGCGTTGGGGTTGAGGGTCTTCTGGTCACGGGTGATGTTGCCCAGGGAGGCGCCGAGGTACGCGACGATGCGGTACAGCTCCACCAGCCTGGCCTTCTCCGTGCCGTTGGCGTGGAAGGGCGGGAAGTCTGTCACGTTGGGGCCGCACAGCTTGTCCAGGTTGTTGGGGAACGGCTCCCCCTGGGCCGTGTACTGAGAAGCAGAACAGAGGGGTGTGACCTGGGAGTCAGGGTTCGGCCTTTCAGCTCGGGGCCTCCATCTCCCCACCGAGGACTCAGACCAGCCCCTGGCCAGTAGGCACCTAGCGGCATAATGCGGGCGGGCATGCGCTAGCTAAAGGCGAAGGCCTGGACCTTCCAAGCTGTGATTGGCACCGCCGCCCTCATCATGGTAACCATACGGGGACAGAAAGGAAAGTGTGAGTCTCGCCTCCGCCAGGGTGCCACGCACACTTGCGCTTTCACAGCCCGGCTCACCGTCTTCCTGGGCGTCCTTCCACCAACAGGCACTCAGCCCCAGCGTCTCCCAAAGGCCTGCTCCCGTTTCCTCCTTGTCTCTCTTCACCAGCCTCCTGCCCCACGGGCCCCGCCATGGCAGGCCTAGAAGGGCTGGGTTCCCACCCTCCCACCCAGCTCTGCCCCCAGGAAGGGGCACCCTGAGAAAGCGGCGTCCAGTCTCCCGGGCGGAGCTGGGGCATGGAGAGGAAACTGAGTTAGGCCGGGCGTCCTTTCACCAAGCAGCCCTCCCCATCCTCTCGTCCAGGGCCACCAGGGTCCCCTCGGGCCCAGGTCAGTTTGCAGCCCCCTGGGTGCAGCCGCCCTTGCCCTGTCCCGCCCTCCCCCCCAGCAGCCCTGGGAGTCTCTTACGTAGAGGATGAAGAGGGCGTTGGCGCTGCTGTTGAGCTGTCCTAGTTGGCTCCTGATCTGGCTCATGAGGTTGTTGTAACATGGGTGGCGTGTGGCGCAGGTGGCGTAGGTGGCGTTGACAGGGGTGATGGGAAGGGGGTTCCCGGCCCCGTGTTTCCAGTGCAGAACCAGCAGCAGGGGCACGACTCCTGGGAACAGGCGGGAAGGAGCCATGGTCAGAAGGGCAGCTTGGGGTCACAGCACACTAGACGGGGTGTCCGGCATGGGGCACGGGGCTGGTGGGAGCCACCTGTCCCTGCTTCTCCGCAGCTCTTCCCTGGGCTGTTTCTACTTCCCACGGCGTCTGTTCCTGTCTCCCTCCCTCCGAATCTCTCTCTCGCTGCATCTCTCTGCTTCTCATGGCTCTCTCTTCTGTCCCGGGGTTAAAAGGAGCAGGGGGCAGGACGGTAGCTGTTCCCACCAGTGGGAAGCTGCACCCAGGGGCCGCCCAGCCCTGCAGCCCTATCTCCCAGACCGGCCTGGCCCTGGGGCAGAAGGCATCCTTATCCAGGCACAGCGGGAAATCCGGGTGGGGGGTAGGACAAAGGCCCCTATCTCTCCATCTCCCGGGCCCAGATTTCCAAGCATCCTTACACTCACTGGCCCACTGCAGCCCAAATTTCCCTCGGTGCAGGCCCCCTGGGGAGCAGGGGTCTCCTACTGACCCTCTTCTCCCTCCCACACCTGCCACTTGGCCAGTGGCCTGATTCTGCCACCCCCACCCCATCCCTATCCTTCCCCAGCGGGGCCACTCCCCTCCCTGAGGCCCCTGGGCGCCAACGGATCCTACAGGTCCATCCCCAAATCAGCCTGGAAAATTCGCTGGCCCTCCAGCCCTATCCTGCCCTTGGCCTCCACACTGTCCCCTCTGGTCTTCTGTCCCTAACTCCAGGCCCCGGGCTAGGGCGGGGGGGGGAGTCCAGGGGTCCCACACCCAAGGCCACCCCCATCTCGGCCTCGGGAGGAAGAGGAAACGCTGCAATCAGGAAAGAGCAGAGGAGAAAGGTCGCAGGCAGCGGGGTGGGCAGGGAGGAGGGAAAGTGAAAGGTAGCCGCGGGGCGCCGTCCGGGCCTGTCCGGGCCTGTCCGGGACCGCCCCTCCCCCAGGGCGCCTGCTCCCCCCTTCACCCTCCGACTCCCCGGACCTGCCTCTCCAGGGCCCGCCAGGAGGCACCTGAGGGTGGCAGGGGCTGCAGCCAGCTGCCCGCTGAGGCTGGCGCCCTCCTGCCCGGATCCCCCTACTGGACGGCAGGGAGGGCGGCAGCCTCAAGTTCACTACTCCTGGGTCCCCGCTTCCTCCCCGCACCCGCAGGCAGCGCCGGGGCCCCGGGATGGCCGAGGGGTCCCCCACGCTCCCATCTCACCTAGCGCAGACCTCACGCAGTCCAGGCACTAGCAGTTGGAGACGGCACCTGCTCCCGTCCCGGGCCGGAGTTTGCAAGCAGCTCGGCCGCCCGCGCCCCTCCCAAGGAGCAGCCCGGGACGCGGTTGGAAAAGAGAAAGCGGAAAGAAAAGAAAGAAACAGAAAGAGGGAGGGTGAACGCGAGAGAAAGCGGAGGGAGGGCAGCGCTGCTCCGCAGAGCGGCGGGAGCGCGAGGAGGAGGAGGAGCAGCGGGAGGAAGGCCGGCGGCCCCAAAAAGGCGCCCAAAGTGCCCGGGCTTGTCGGCGAGTGGGTGTCCCTGGAGCTGGCCGAGCGCCCCGAGGGCCGTCGCGCCCGCAGCGGGGGCCGCGGAAGCCGGCGCCGGGCGGGTGGATTTACCTGCCGCCAAGACCTTCATTATGGGCTGGACTCCAGAGGGCCTCGGAGGAGACCTCGGATGACGGCAGTTTTCAGAGGTTCATGCTCAGATGGGGAATTTGCCTGATTTATATACTGGAGCCTGTGTTGTAAGACAGAAACGGCTATATTTAGCCGGGATCCCCAGTCCAGGAAGTTGTTTGAGGTGCATCATAGGAAATTATGAATGGAAGAAAAGTGAGAGTGTGTGTGGGGGGGACG